GTTTGGAGTTTGGTCCGTAAACTCTTATGTGGCCGTGAACTCATGCCTTAGGCATGATCTTACTCCCCATTTCTTTCATTTCTCAACTTCCACTCTCAAGAACACTAACCATTCTCTCTCAAGTAGCATCCCGTTCTTCACCCGATCTTCCGAAAATGTAAGTGTTTCTTGACTTGATTTTTTGTTATAACCTAACATCTAGTCGTTATACATCATTTCATCCATTCATTATTGATTTTCACTTAGATCTTTAACTATTCTTCAAAACACCAAGAACACACACTAGTGTTCTTGGACCTTAAACACCCAATCAAGCTTCTATCTTGTAAGTACACTTGCCCTAGATTATTGTGTGCTTAATATGAACTTTTTTAAACTTGTAAAACACCAAGAAACATAAGATCAAAGGAGTTTACGGCCAAGGAATGTTCTTGGGCCGTAAACCCTTATATGTAGGATTAAATGGACCCTAGTCCCTTCCTAAGCCTTGGATGCTAGTCTTGATCCTTCCTAGAAATGTTTAAGACCTTAAACATCAAAGAAAACATGTCCACATAAGATTTTATGGCTGTAAACACATCAGGAAATGGTCCTTAGGCCGTAAACTCTATCATGTAGTGATATTGTGCCACTAATGCTTCCTAAGGCGTGGACTTGATCAATGGATGCTCAATTTTTACTTATAAGACCTCAAAACACCAAATGACACTTAGTACCATGAGTTTACGAAAATAAAATCATGGGGAAATGACCATGGGCTGTAAACTCCATAAGGAGTGGTTCTTGGGCCATAAACTCCAATGCCATGCCATACAACCCTTAGATGCAACCCTTTAGTACCAATAACACTTGAATCAAAGTGTTTCCATGTCCTAGGTTGTCTTAACTTGGTTAATTAGTTGTTAGATGACTAATTAGATACATATATGTTTTATTATATGTTAACTAGGACCATTGTGTGTGTTCAAGTCTTCACTTGACACCTTGTACCTTGTCCAACACTTCCATATAATCCACTCACTACAGATGAGTTCATACCCCTTAATCAACCTTTTAAATGGTTTTAAATGCTTTTATGGGGGTGGGTGGAATTCAAGTTGAATATCATAGTTATTAGATCAATCACATGTGATTAATAACTAGCATACAAATGGACTTTCCACACTTTAAACTGTTTATCAAACTATTTTACATGCCAAACTCTTTATCAAATTCTCTTTTGTATACTAAACCTTTCTTTTATAGTTTTCAAACTTATATATTGTTAAAACCATGTCTACTACATATATAGTTATATAAATAAGGTTTGAAGGACTTAGGACTGATAACCCACTTTACTTCATGTTCCTTGTTTGGTTGTGGACTTAAAGCACCCGGTTGTTTGTCTGAGTGTCGTCGAATCCTTACTTATTATATATATATATATATATATATATATATATATATATAATATATATATATATATATATATATATATATATATATATATATATAGATATAGATATAAAGACTTTTATCTCCGTTCAGTACATTGAGTCATATAAACAAGTCTACTAGTAAACTATAATAGGTATTGTTTAGGGGTTATACTACTTACTACTTCTAGTCCAATGAAGCATAGAAAGAGTCAGTTCATTCATGAGTCACTACTTACTATACTATGATGAGAAATTATACAACCATACTATGATGAGAACTTATACAACTATACTATGATGAGAACTTATACAACTATACTATGATGAGAACCCATACAACGATACTACGGTGAGGAACAATACATTCATTACAAAAGTACATACATTACATATACATGTATACTATAACATAAATGTGATCCACTGTATCAGAGCATGTCTTCATTGTCATGGCCTGAGTTGTAACCAAAATCTCATGGAGGGAGTGCATGAATTTGTGTATAGATCTATACTGGATTGACTATCCTAGACCTTGCTGCTAGCTACAGTGGGACCTGTAGGTCTTCGGGTGCCAAATGTCATAACTTTTGATGACTTACATTGTCATGTTCATAGTCGATAGTATGGTACAATTAATCACATGATACCTTAATATAAATTCGGTTTAAGGTAGTTAGTACAACAATAGTTATTATAATGCAACACTACAGTACTACATTTATTTACCCTTTACATTTATTTGGTGATCACATCACTTAAACATTAATGTACAAACTATATTTTGATAATGATAGTTACACTTGGGAAAATTACAGACTTTTACGAGAAACAAACATACAAATCAGTTGTTACAAACTTTTACAAACACTTACAAACATTCACATATTGTTTCAAACTTTTACAAACACTTACAAACATTCACATATTGTTACTACAAACGTTTACAAACTCGTACTTCAAACATTGTTTCAAACATTTTGATACAATCATAGACACTAAATACTTATGAACTCACCAGCTTTAATGCTGATAAACTCTTTCAAAATAACTTGTATTCTCAGGTCATCAGTAGACAGGTACCGATGCCAGCTTTTGAGAAGATGGAGCGCATACAAGACTCATATTTTGTTTTGATTCATATTTTGGTGTCTTATAAACTATAGAACACACTTGTATTAAAATTATATATTTAATGCAATGGATGATGTTGTTTACTTGTTTACTGTTATGTTGTGTTGTGATACTATACGTGACGTCCTCCGCCCCAGAACATTTCCGCTGTTCTTGGTTTTGGGGTGTGACACATGGGAAGCTAAACCTAACCATAGGGAATAGATGAAAGTTAGATGTTACCTGTATTGGATTTTATAAGCTTATGTTTGATAATAGTGTTAGTGTTGGTTTGAATAATTGTTGTTATTCTTCAGAAATGACTACCAACATAATTTCTTTTCATGCTTTTTAAGACAAAAATTGTCATTATGGTTTTGACAATAATGATGGTGCAATTTTAGTTTATAATAATGGTATATTTGTTTTCAAAGATTATCCTTGTAAGGGTGTGTATGAAAGTATTGTGTGTGTGAATGGACTTAGCAATTGTGTTTTTAGTATTGATTCGTCTAATGGTTAAGACAAGGCATGCTTATGGCATTTTCATCTTGGGAATATTAACAAGAAATGCATCTCCCAACACCAAAAGGATGGAGTGTTGGAATTATTCAACCTAAAACCAAATGCTGAATGTGAATCTTGTTTATTAGGCAAGATTATTAAATCACCTTTCACTGGAACTTGTGAATGAGGTGAAGCATTATTAGACTTGTCCATAGTGATGTATAGTGTTAGGTTTTCTAGGCATCAAATACACTCTAAAACTAGGTAGCGGAAAAATCAAAACAACAACGATATACCTAAGTGTACATGCAACCTATGGATCTATGGTTTCATACTATTACTTCTACCCAAGAAATCAGAATTACAAAGAAGAATCACAAACCTCTTTTGCGGCTAAAGATCTTTGAGTTTGACTCCTCGTGCGTGCTACCTTTTTTGGATAATAAGGACCCACACTACAATCCCTCTCTTGGTTCACACCAAATGAACTCAGAAGAGTAGAATAAAATTAAACTAGTAGTGGATGAATTATAAGGAAAGTTCTTCCACAAGGAAGGAGAAAGAAGGTGGCGAAAAATCAAGCCAAGAAAATGAGCAAGGAGGAATGAATTCCTAAGGCCCTATTTATATACTTGGAAACCTCCTAGGGTTTTATCTTCAAGCCCATGTGGGATCGAATACCCTATGAACGAAATCTCCTTTATCCAAAGGGAATTTTCGTCCACCACCCTTCTTCCTTGGGTTCTAGAATATTCCTGATCAACCAACTATTGATTAATTGATATTCATCCATTCTATTAATTAAACTGTTAATTAATTCCCAAATTGTTTTCCAGTTAGCTTCAAATTAAATATTAAACCATAATAATTAATAAACTTATTTATCCTTTATTTATTCCACTTAATTTTAGTCTTGAGGGCAACCCAATTGGACCTTACTGTAATTAGAAATATCACCAATAGTTAATGACCTTGAACACTTCCAACAGTCTCCCACTTGGACAAGTCATCAACAGAGAGAATGACATCCAATGCATCTGGCGAACTCTGATCTAATCAGTTTCAGCCCTCAGATAAGTGATCAACTATTCCTTCATCCTCACGATATCTGTATTAATTCAAGACATGGATAAAGGTCAACCTCAGAATTCGAGATTATGTTTCCCAATATAGATTTATGATGATTGGATCTGACTACTAAATTGAACACATCAATTTTAGTCCGGACCTGGTCAGGTATTTATGATGTCAACACTAAATCATCGAGGGTCCCATAGATATCGCTTCTCCTGATAAGGCAGAGAGGATGAATAAACTTTGACTACATAGCTTTTGTCCATTTCATATTATCATATATGGATATACTCGTTATGGCTACCAGGTACAGATAGCATTCGAGTAAACCCATACATAATAGAATCATAGAGCAAAACTCCCCATGTATCTCAGGTTGAAGAACAGAAGACATTATCATCTTAGAAGTACTCGTGACTATATCCATGTATTTCCTTTTCCTTGTTTGGATGTAGACTTAGGGTATCGGTTATTTGTCTGACTGTCGTTTCAATTATATATATATATATATATATATATATATATATATATATATATATTATATATATATATTATTTCATTCAGTTTCAATACCCTTTGTAACATCTAGAGCAAGGGGTTGCATTCATGAACAGTTAGTATCAATATAAAAAGTACATATAAATTATAATAGGTATAATTTATGATTCAAGAACACTAACTCACGAGTCAGGTATACTAGAGTACACTATTTTACAAGAACATGGGTTTACACTATTGTACAAAAACAAGGGTTTGATTCAAAACTAAACAAAGGTACACTACTACTACATTTCAAGTATACTAAACAAGGAACATACTATCAATCATTTATTTCAGAATGATTGGGTTTTCATTATACACATAACGTTTATATGCTTTTTATGAGACAATATGTTCAGGTTGTTTAATTCATTTAAACAACATAGTTAAAGTCCTGATATTATAACCGGAATATCCAATCGGGGATCGAAACAAGTGTGTATAGATCTATATTGGGATTGACAATTCCACGCTCGGGCTACTAGCTACAGTCAGGCGTACATGGCTATTTGTGACAATTGTTATCAACAGTTTAAACACCTTCAAATTGTTTGTTTCAGGCCATCTAGTCATAGTATCGTTATAATAACTCATTAAAAAGATATTAACAATACGTTAGTGTATAATTAACTACACATGAGTACATTTTCAAAGTACTAGTTTACAGAGATACAGTTTATAGTGTTACATTGCAGTTTACAATAACAACTGGTGGACCCAGGCACACTAACTTTCACATGTTATATATAAGAATACAAATACAGAACATTGGTTTACATATAAAACAATTTTATGGGGTTAAAACTACTTTTCATACACAATAGAAAATATAGGATTTTCTGGAACAATTTATATATTCAGAGAACATAAAACATACTTTTAAACATAAATACTTATGTACTCACTCAACTTTATGTTGATACTCTCTTTTGAAATTACTTGTATTCTGAGGGAATCAGTAGATAGGTACTCCCCGAGCTTTTAAGAAGGAGCTGTTTTGAGTCATATTTTTTTGTCTTTTGGTATAACTATTTTGGTGTCAATATACAGTGATTGAACACATGTAAATATTTATACTTATTAAATACAATGTTTGTTTGTACTTTGATTACTATGATGCATGTGGTGTGATACTACAAATGAAGTCCTCCACCCCCGGACGTTTCTGTCGTCTGGTTTGGGGGTGTGACACATAATCTACCCCTACCTTCCCAACAAGGTGGTGCTAGTATCGAACAAAGTCGCTTGGAGCCCCCCAAGGATACACTCACGAGTTAACTTGAATTTTCCTTTTTCTTGTACACAAGCACAATCAGTGGCCCTGTTACTAATTCCAAGGTTTCCGAGAGAGGAATAGTCCATCCTATCTTGAAAGTCATAAGTGGTCTGATACCTGCGTTAGGTAGAGGATGATCAGATATATTTGATAAAGATTGGGAAGATTTTATTGATAGGCCTCACTCACTACATCTGGGGCTATCTCGAGATCAAGTATAATACACTCTCATTTTATTGCACAAACGATCAATCGACAGTCACATTCCATTTGTGTATCCTTCCAATGAAGAAATCCATCAGGAGATTCAACCATCCTTCAATGCAGTGAAGGCCACAAAGAGTGTAGAAGTTCACGCTCCTGATAACATTGTGAACGATCCTCCTTGTAATGATGCTACTATAGGAGATGTTCCCAATTCAACCAATATCTTTGATGATCCTCCTCCTAAATTTCTGAGCGATGCTAATGGTCCCTCACCTGTTGCTGAAGATAATCTCTTTGAAGAGATTTTGTTTGAAGATTGCAGCACCACTATCATTGTCATTCCCATTCCCAGCTCATTCTACATTTTTCAGAAGCCTTCCTCCTAAAAATCCTTTTTCATTTTAGACTTTCTTTGTTCTCATGAGCTTCTAATGAAAATAGATTTCGTGAGAGAAATGAAATTACTCCTCGTCCAGAATATGAGCTAGAAGGTCATCAAGAAACTCCCACTCAAGAAGCTCTACATGATGACAACAAGAGTAAAGGTGATGTGGATCAGAAATCTGAAAGTTCCACTTTGGACACAAGATCCTCTGACGAGAACATTGTGGAACTTTTTGCCTTATTGGAACTCCGAGACAACTTTGCCATTGCTAACTCTAAAGTTGACAAGGTCATTCAGCAGGTCGCAGGCCTTGACACAAAACTTGATCTTGTCATTAAATCTCTTTTTGAGATCAAGGCTGTTGTTCCATCCGAGCATGATCGTGCAAATCAACTAGATCAGATTATCTCTCTTTTCCTAAGGCATACTTTAGAAGAAGTCAAGTAATGGTACAAGGATAATCAAGATCATCAGCTCTCTACCATCAGCACCATGCTCAATATCCATGATGACATGATCTCTACCACAAATATGTTCATCATGATAAATAGAATCAGTGGTTACAAAAGGAAATTTGTCACAAGGATGCCATTAACATGGTTATGCAATAAAAGCTTATCAAACTCAACAGTTCAGCTCAACATTTTGTGGATACTCCGAACCACAACTTTGATGAAATGTTGATCATTCTAGATGAAACCTTTTCTCATCTCAAAGCTCAAGCTCCAACTGTTGAGGTTTATGGTTCGCTTTCCAAGTAACTCAACATGAGCTTTCAATGAGTGTTCAAACAGTTAAGCGAGGTGAAGTTAAATTCATTGCTTATATCAGAGGCAGGGCCATCCCATGCAAGAAGGGGAGGACAACAGACAATAAAATGGAAACCAATCTTAGAATTTTCTTTTAGAGATGATGAGTCTGATAAAGAGACTATGGAGATAGAAACATCTAAAGTAGATGATGATGATGAAGAAGATGATTTAGTGACTGATGTGATTCTTGGACTTCAAGATATCAGGGAACAACTTACCAAAGTCCTTTAGGAAGAAGAGAAGATGAAATAGTCCCCAGTCTGTTGGAAATCATCTTTATCCGAAGCATTCAAAAGAATCTAAGACATGGATAAGCTCAAACCCAAGTTGACAATCGATACCTTCTGAGCCACTCAACCAATGCCTCCTCATTTCATGTTCTGAGGATTGTCTAAATCAATGAAGGTTCTCCTATCAGGAAACCTGATGAGATCCCGGAAGAACCCTTGCTTCCTCCTCCATCCAATATATTCATCACCCAATATGGCCTACAAATCATGTCTTCCATCTCCTATCAAGCTGATCAATCCAAAGATAAAGGCAAGAAAATAGCTACTGATTTCAAATAGCCCAATGAAGTCGTCTAAATAGTCTGAGGGCTTGTCCAAAGAACAAGTACAAAAAGCATTAGAAGAAAGCATCAAGATTCAATCCCTCAAAGATAATCCCAATCCGAAGATGGGCATTTCTCCTCTCTTCCAAGATGGAATTTTACACGACACACATTTTGTGCTCTTCATGTACTTCGATATTCCAACAAATGATGCAGACCAACTTGACTTTCCAATCTCTCCTCATGGACGATACTACATTAATTTCATACCATTGCATCCATCAGATGATAGACAAATCATCATCAAAATTTAGCATGAGAAATTGTGAACCTTCTACTCCACTAACGCACGACCCCAAAAGGAAGTCTGGTCTTAACAAATAATTACCAAGATTGTTCGATATAGTAATAAGGTTTAAAGCAAGTTTGATCTTGAAAATCTTCTATATAGATACTTCGTATTTCAGAACAAGCAATCCACTATCACCATCACTGATGCAGACTTTCCCTGATGAATCCAAACGACATCCTCACTATAGTTGCTCATCTTCAAGATCGCCAAACAAATGAATCAAGCATTAGAGCTTACAACTCCGTAATAATTTTTCTCAAGGAATACCTTGATGAATTCTATATATCCGACATGGAGTTTTCTCATCTTTTTTGAACCAAAAATCTTTTAGCCAAATTCACCACTAAGATTCCTAAATCCTAGATTTTAGCATAAGGTCTAACTGAAGAACCAATACTTAGTTATGTCTATCTCAAGAAAAAATACTAACAAAAAATAATTCTTATGAGTTCTTGATAAACACATCATTCCCACAAATATTCTTCAGGAGTTCATTTCAAATGGTGCCAAGATTGATTCCTACGAACACGTCAAAAAGAAATTTATTGAGCTTCTCAAATGGTACATCAAATTCCAAAGCTGGCTCTAAGCTGCTTATCTATTTGTGTTTGATGAAGCCATGTGATGAGTCGAATGATTCCTAAGGTCACTTAAGGGGTGATTGTAAAGTGAACATCAAGCAATCCGAGATGAAGCATGTCCGATGTGAAATCATTCCAAAGTGAATTCCATTCCGAAGTGAAGATCGGTCTAAGATGCTTATTTGTGTTTAAGTAATTTATGTTTTTAATGTGAATTCATTATTGCAACACTATTTTTTATTCTTCTTATTGTCTTATAGTATAGTACAAGATACAAGATCAATATCAACAAATGTGTCAGCCTGTTGATCTTCAGAAGTCTGACAATCCATGCACACTTTATTAGATTTGGCTTGTAATTACTCCTTGACAATTTAAGGAGTAGTCATCTTTGTATGGCGTGTGGAATGTGCACCTTTTTCACTTATATAAAGAATCATTTATTCAATCATTCTCTATGAGAATCTTCTTGTTCGTAAACCACTTTACATTGTTCATACTTATTATATATTTATGCTTTGACCACTTTGTTGATTATATTAATTTCGAGACAAGACTGGTTTACCAAACTTGACTGGTTCTTTATTATTAACAAACATTGATATTAAGTTAATTCAAGGTTTGAATTTCCAAATCTTGTCTGCATACCCCTTTACTCTCACGACTATGCTATTGATGGTGCAAGGAGCTGAAACATCAGCATCATAGGATATTAAGTGACAATTAGTGTCAAGATCTCTAACTGTGCATTGAGAAAATTCAATATGAATTTCATTCACTGAGTAAATTTCACCATTAGAAAATTTAATTTCAACAATATCTCACTCCTAGGTAACATATAATCACGATTAAGAGGTTGTTGATAAGGATCAAGAGTACAAATGCGAGATTTACATTTGGTGAGACCATCAGAATCAGTAATGCAATATTTGTCAATCAATGATTGATTTATAAAAGAGGTACTGACAAATCTAGTTTTAAAACCCATATTAAGATCACAAGCATTATAAAAAGTTTGTTCTGTTTCAATACGTCAGAAAATTATGACAGCGTTATCAATATTACCACCAAGAATTTTCTCACACTGATCGGGAATTTGAGCATTGATTATTTTAGTTATTTTAAATTGACAATGCACAATGTTCTTAGTGATAAGTTGAATGTTTTTGACACGTTAATTAGATTTATCCTTATTATTGAAGAAAAAAATTATTCAATTATGAGAGACTATCGATTTCTTTACTCAAAATAGAAAGAGCATTTTCAGTGGCAATAAGCGTTTCTTTTAAAGACTTTACCTCAAATTTGAGAATGACTTTTCCTTGATTAGAGTTAGAAAGATCAAGATGCAAATATTCAAACATATCTATTTCTTTTGAAGAGTAATTAAAAAACATTCTTAACCTAATACATGGAAGAGGAGTCCCAATCTTGTATCTTTGATTCTATTGTAGCTTGAGAGAGATCAACATCGAATGTGTTGGGTTTGCTTTCATAATATTCAGTGTAAAAGTCATTGATGTGAACCATTAGACATTTTCCTTTTGGCTCCTCATCATTAGACGACTTATCTCCATCATACACAACATTAGATTTTCCATCATCTTTTTCGTTGACTCAATGTTTTGGACCAAGTGATAAATACGATAAGGAAGAGAGTTTCCTATGGCGGATCTTGCCTTCAAATCTAATATTATGAGTCTTTTATCCTCTTTTTTGTAACTGAGCTTTGGCTTCAGTTTCAATTCATTGATGATGTCAAGCATGTCATGATCCATGATCTCAAGAACAGCGATGGCTTATGCCTTCAATGTGGCAAGGTTGTATTCATCGAACACTGTGATCTTGTTTGCTAGGGAGGATTTAGGATTGTATTGAGATGAAGAAGACATGATTACTTGAATGTATCGAAAAACTTGCTCTAATACCACTTGAAGGTTCGTAGATCGGATACAAAAAAGTTACAATGAAGAACAAAGGATTATCACAAAGATTGTTTTTCACTAAGAAAAGTTCTCTCAAATGATTGCGCAAAGCAAAATCAAGGTTTAACCCTATTTCATGATTATATATAAAACTATTTTGGAGAATCCCTTCAACTAAAGGATTAATTCTAATCTAATCTAATCTAAATATGTAAATCGATCATTATCAACAAGATATTGAATCAATTATCTTTATATATATATATATATATATATATATATATATATATATACACACACACACACACACACACACGTACACAACCGAATTATGCAACAGAGAACACGATTGTGCTGCCGTTGGCACTGGTGAACGACGTGTGAGAGTACTTTAACTCATCAGATCATATGGCTTAACCTTACAATAAGAATTTGCTAGTTTGATATTTGATTATGAGGAACATAAGTTGTTTCGAAAACTACCTGAAGTTGACCTATCATAAAAAAAGTGTTAAGATATGGATGTTATGAAAATAATTATAGTTTGTTTTCCTTTTTACTAACATTTTTATTTAGTTTTTTATATTAAAGCCGCTATATAATCGAGGGAGATGCATCTCTTACAATGTTGTTGTCAATGGGGCTATAAATAATAAAACAAAGGTTAGTAAATGGAAACAACATAAACAATCCAAAAGGAAAAGAAATCTGTAAAGTGTTGGCTATTAATAACTTTTTGGAAGTGAATCACATAATAGATTTATTATTTGAACATAGTTAGATGGTTTACCGAGGGTATTGGTTAACTAGATTTTCGATCTAGGCTCACAACTAAGAAAGTAGCAAACCGATAGTTTCAACTAACTATCCAAAATCGGTGAAGTGAACATATCTATCCAATATTATGGATGTGAAAATTTGATTTATCACACTTATAATTCAAAACATAAACCAATACATGTGTATGTAAGCATGTATTCATTACAAATGAACATGCAAGCCCTATCTTCCAAGTATAGGCCTAAAAGATAGGAACTGTACGATACTTTAGAAGAGAAAATTAGTATAATTTACAAACAAGAAGTGATGCTCTTACCTTATTAGCAGGCAAGTTCTTCAATGGAGATGAAACAACCTCAAACAACAAGCCCTCATCATCATATCTATTTTTCCCTCCAACTAAAGTTTTCCCTATTACAAAGACACGGTTAGAGATAGAACTATAAGCCATGATTCTCATCATGGTCCTATAAAAGCTATAAACCAAATACTATTTCTTTTTGAAGCATAAATACAAACACCTGGTATGCATTTTCTAAATGATATTATAAGCTTTTAAGAGACTTTTAAAGGCATAATTGTTTCTGGAAACTAAGGGAACTAACCAAAGAATAAGAAACATAAATCACACACTTGGAGGGGAAAGAGATAAAAATTATAAAATACCATTGCAGAAAGCCTCAATCATTTTCTAAATGCACCTAAGCAATTTGATTTAAATAGTACTTGAATGAACGATTGGTAGCAAGTTACAGTCATATTTAAAGAGGATAAATTATTTACATGATCCTGATGAAAAATAGGGATGATTTTGTGATTCTTCACTAATGTCTTTGTTCTTCAAGGTTTAGGGTTTTCGATTGCGAAGTGGTAAGACGATTACAGAGAACCGGTGGTCTAATGTAGAGTCTATTATTGCATGGTGTATATAAGCATGTATTCAAAACATAAACCAATACATGTGTATGTAAGCATGTATTCATTACAAATGAACATGCAAGCACTATCTTCCAAGTAGAGGCCTAAAAGATAGGAACTGTATGATACTTTAGAAGAGAAAATTAGTATAATTTACAAAAAAGAAATGATGCTCTTACCTTATTAGTAGGGAAGTTCTTCAATGGAGATGAGACAACCTCAAACAACAAGCCTTCATCATCATATCTATTTTTCCCTCCAACTAAAGTTTTCTGTATTACAAAGACACGGTTAGAGATAAAACTATATGCCATGATTCTCATCATGGTCCTATAAAAGCTATAAACCAACTATTATTTCTTTTTGAAGCATAAATACAAACACCTGGTATGCATTTTCTAAATGATATTAATTATAAGCTTTTAAGAGACTTTTAAAGGCATAATTTTTTCTGGAAACT